ACAACAGAACACATGAAATATCTCTTTTGTAACTTTAATTGAAGCATTGCTATTCATTTTTAACTTTCTTAAAAGCACCAAATTTTAAAATCTAAGTCAACTTTTTTAAACCATCAAGAACGTCCCTCCAAAAGAAAACAATGATGCTCATTCCTCCAAAGGTCCAAATTTAAGTTCTACCAAAATCAAAACAAAACGATAAAACCCACACAGAAATAAAAAGTAACAAAAATCACATTCTAGGGGGTCAGTGCATTTCGCAGTCTTTGCTGTGCTGTCTAATTGTCCTTCAGCTGACTTTCAAAAAAATAACACCCTAGCTCATCAAAATATACATTTTCCATTTGCTTTTTAAAATTAAAAATAATAATTAAAAAGAGAAAATGTTAAGGAAGTCACAATCAATTGCCTGACTCATTTTGATGGCATGGACAGCATGTGGAGGTCAGGAAGGCTATCTGCAGCACGCGTGGCTGGGATGTTCCTCTTCAGGGTTTAGCTTTCTTCCAAACAGTGTAAAATACCCACAATTGGGAATGCTGGTATTATAGGGATGTGCCACCATGCCCTGCCCATCATAGATTTTTTTTTTTTTATGGTACTGGGGATCAAATCTAGGCCTTTGTGTATGCTAGCCAGGCACTTTATCCCTGGCCCCCAAGCCACAACCTCAGCCTTGAATTTTTTTTGTCATTTTGAGACAGGGTCTCATTATGCAGTTCAGGCTGGCCTTGAGGTCACTTTGTAGTAGCCCAGGCTGGTCTTGAACTCACAATGATCCTCCTGTCTCAGCCTCCTGAGTGCTGGGATTACAGGCGTGAGCCACTGTGCCCAGCTTGATTTTGATTTTTAAAAGTATTAATCAAGACATGATTTTTCATGAGTGTTGAATATTTTTGGCCATCCCTTAAAATTTTCTATCTCAAAATACTCCATGCTGAGTGTGATGGCCCTCTTTTGTGATCCTAGTCCTCTGAGAGACTGAGGCACAAGGATCAAAAGTTCAGAGTCCAGACTGGGCAGTTTAAAAGACTTAGAGAGCTGGGTGTGGTAACACACACCTGCAGTCCCAGTGATGGGGAGGCTGAGGTAGAAGAATCTCCGTGAGTTCGAGGCCAGCTTGGGCTACATAATGCGTTCAAGGCCAGCTTGAACTACATAGTGAGATCCTGTTTAAAAAAAAAAAAAGGATTAGGGCGCTCCTGTCTCAAACCGCTCATGCACACGTGCATGCACCGGGCTGGGGACCTCATTCAGTTCGAAGACCCTGGGTTCAATCTCTAGTACCTAGAATGCGGAGGCAGTGCTTGCTTCCGCAGCACACGTACTAGAATGCGGGGGCAAGGATAATAAACAGATGCATAGGGTGACCTGATCATTAATGGCAGTTAAAGATAAATCCCCCCCCCCGAAAAAAAGATGAATTCCCTAAGCAGCACCCCAGATTCAGTAGGGTGTGTGTGTCAAGGACCTATATTTCAAATTAAACCTTCCAGGGTCTTAGACATTAAATATTTGGGGACCTGTAATTACAGAAACTGTCTAATAAATTGCGTTGAGGAGTGGGGAATACAAATGCAAAACTGCCTGGCACCTACATGGTGCTGGTAATATCTAATAACAATGTTCCCTAATAATAACTGTAACAATTGTTATTAGTAGGAGTACTATATTTCAATTAGGAGGCGCGACTTGGGCGGGACCTGGAAGGCGGCTGGGGCTGGGAAAGGCGGTGGGCAGGAGGGAGGACATTCCAAGATGGGCGTGGGCTTCCTGAGCCGGGGGCCAACTCTCCAGGAGGCAGGGGAGGGTCTGGTGCCGGAAAGTGGGCCGTGGTGGGGGGGCAAAGGGCGGAAGCTCCGAGCTAGTGTCCTCCCTTCTCGATCACCCCTTTGCAGAGCGCGCACCCTGGCGGAGGAGTAAGTTCCGCAGGGATTTTGCCGTGAATGAGAAGCTGCAGCCTTCCGCCCGCGGAGGGGGCAAGTTGGGGATGGGGACAAGGGGATTGGGGGCAATCCCCAGGCCTCCTGCCTTGCTGGCAAACTTCCCCCGGGGGCCGCTGCCGTTCTGGCCCGCCTCCACCCTTCCCTCTCTGCTCCGCCCCTCCTTTGTAACCGCTCCCCCACCTCCCGCCCCGAAGCCCCCGCGTCCGAGCTGGCTGGCGCGCCCCCCTTTGCCGTCACCTCATCGGCTCCGGGATTCCCAGACTCCAGAGCCCGGGACGCGCAGCTAGCTGGGCAGGGACGGAAGGAAGAGGTTGGCAGGCCCCCGGAGTCAGCCCCAAGTTAAATGCGGGAAGCGGTGGCCGTGACGCTAGTTTCTAGGGGGCCCTGGGTCTGCTCCGAGGGAGCGCGCCGGGACTCCACTGCATATGTAGTTGCATCGTGAAAAAGCAAAAAACCTAAGCACGCACCCTGGGCCGCCTTCCCGCTGCCGCGGCAAGCCGAACCCAGCCGTGCGCCCCCGAGGGTCGCGTTGTAGGCTGACCCTACACGGACAGTCCCTGGCAGACCCTGGGCACTGGATGAGCTCCCTCGTGGTGGCTGGCTTTTTTTTTTTCCTGCAATGCTTGCCAACCTGTCAGCTGATGGACCTCATCACCCATAGTGGCGCATGTAGCTGGGCCGCAGATTTCTCCATTCACGCCGCGCCCCAGCAGCTGGGCTGTTGCTGGGGGCCCCCTGTTCGCCAGGGGAGACCCGCAGATCCCCGTTGCAGCCGCTCCCCAGGGGCCTGCGCCCCTCTCGCCCGGGCCTCGCGCCGCTCGGGGGACGCAGCAAATAGTCCTTTGTTTACATGCAATTCCTTACTCCGCGGAAGGAGGCCGGGGGAGTGCTGAGTTTTCACCAGCTGTTTCCCGCCTTGAAACAGACATCTGATCAGCTGCAAACACACACACACATACACACGCCCGGGGAGGCAGGCCGGAGAGACCTCCCTCCCGCCCCTCCCGCCCGCCTCCCTCCCCTCGCCGCCGCCGCCGCCGCCGCCGCCGCCGCCGCCAGCATCTGGGACCGGCCGATTCTGCACCTCCGTCCGGCGCTGCCCTTTGATTCGGATTTCCATCTTGCATTCTCCGGCGGACCGCGGGACCTGGCTCGTGCAGAGGAGGGGGGCCGATCGCTATGGAGTATTTCATGGTGCCCACTCAGAAGGTGCCCTCTTTGCAACATTTCAGGAAAACAGAGAAAGAAGTGATAGGAGGGCTCTGTAGGTGTGTACTCCTCCTCCCCCAACCCCTTCCTACCATTGCAGCCCCCGGCCAGCCCGCCCGGGGCTGGCGCGTGTGTGCGCACGCATGGCCCGCGCTGCCGACCCCGCTCGTCTTTCTTAGCCGCTGGGGTGGCCGCAGCTCGCGCGCCCGGCTCGCGCCTCTTGGGGACCCTCCTCCCTTGGAACGTAGGAACCCGGAGCGGCCCTGGATACTTTTGTCCGCTGCAGGCGGGCGAGTCGCGACGTTTGTAAATTGCAAACAGACCCACGTGGTTCTGCAGCAGTCCCGGCCATGCTTGATGCTGGTGGCTTTCCCCCCCGCGCTTCCTCCTCCCCCCTCCCGCGGCGGCTTCCTTCCTCTCCCTGCTTCCTCACGCTCTCCGGATGCCCCCCTTCAAATGGGTCTGGGGGGGTCCGGGGCGTGCGTGGGGCCGCGGCGCGGGCGCGACGGTACAGCCCCGCCGCGGCTCCGGGTGTGGGTGGGGG